TGGATTTGTAAATATTACAGTAGAATTTAGTCCACTTTCTTTTTTTCACAAAATATATATGCTATTTGGAAGGTTTGCTATTAAAATATTAAAATCGAGTTATGAAATAATATGATCCGCGTGATTTCAATACCGCCAAAAAAAAAATATTTTGTTAATATTAAAATAAGACGGAGAAATGAGTTTGTTATTTTATGAACAATAAATATAATCCGTACAAGACCGGTTTTGACTGATAAAATCTGATATTTATTATATTTATTTTTTTAACTTGGTCATAATACGATCGACTGCGCTACATTATTTTTTATTTTGACGTCATAGTCAATAATTTCAATATATATTTTTAAAATAGAAATAAAAAAAAAATTGATATTCTGTCAAATGATAACAAATCATTCAATTTGATATCGCAATTCCTATAGTTTAAATAACTCGAAAGATGTTTCAAATGGAATAAGAAAAATTATTTACAATTATTACATAATTGGTAGCTAAAATTTTAATTTAGAAATCTTGTATTCTATTTTATACTCTGTTGATTTATGAACTTTTTAAATTTTTTTCCTGTTCCAATCCATTACCATTTCCATTATTTGTTTTCTGCAGTAATTTGATACTGATTAAATACCTTTTGGAAATTCGTTTGTTCTTTCTTAGTTGAACAGAACAAAAATGACTAGTGTATAACAAACCGGCTTCATCACATCGCAAAATCAAATTAGTTATTTTACCAAATGCGATAGATTTCCTCCCCTAAATAAAAATAAATACAATTATCACGTGATTTTAAAATTCGTAATTGAAGAAAATAAAATGATACATTTGTAAATAGAAACCATCTTGATAACTCACCTTCTTAAATTGCATTATATCGTACCCTCTTGGTGACTGGGGTAAACTTCGTTTCAAACCTTCGAGACTGAACCGCCTCTTTTGGTAATTCTGGTAGTGCTAACTTTAAATTATAATTAAATTGTACTGGACGCCTGTTCAATAAGGATCTGACACGCATCCCATTCACGCAAACTGTTTCGCGTAGACGTGATTAAGTGCAATACATTTTCAACTTTTTCCTCCACATTATTTTCTTGAAAATTGAATGAGATTATCTCATCTTCAATAAGCATAGACGAGACTCAATTTTTCTTGAATGTAAATTGGCTATAATCTCCCCAAACGATAAGATGTTGATCCTTGGAGATACAAATAAGGCCTTCGAAGAATGAGCTGAGCTTCTTATTAACAAGTAAAGTCTTGATCGCCTTATAGAAATTTTCTTAGTCACGCAATCGACTCGTCGAAGTATTGCATTGACTGCAAACTATTGACGTAATTTATTATCCTGACTAAAATCTTTGTCATACATTTCTTGAAGTAATAATTGCAACAACACCTTCGGATTTAAGGTCAACGCTTGCTTAAAACTGCGGTATGTCGAGAATAACCTTAGCAATTTCAGTCTCAACGAAGGTTATTTCAAACCTCAATTTCTCAAAATTCCCGACCATTTCATATTGATCAAAAATTCCCACATTCCAGGATTTCATTTCTATATAACATTTTGAACTAGAACGTAACGGTTTTATTATTATTATTAAAACTGCTCTTTGATTTATTAACGCCCAGTAAAGAATAAACAGAACAATAGATTATAATTTTGTTGTACTTCGTTCGGGTGAATCCTCAGTGGGAATATGGTTCTTTCAGTGGTGATGTTGCGATTTTGATACTTTCCTACACTTATGATATCGTTCACTCTTATATTGTTTGATTCATAATGAAAGGAGACACGAGAAGATATAATAGTAGGTAACGTCAAAGCAATCATACAAGTCCAAAGGTTTCTTAAAAGACAACGATGGAAAAAAAAAATAACGATATTTTTTGTTTTGGTGTAAATAATAAAAAAGAATTGTGTATGGCTTCGTTTATCAATTACTATATTAGGTAAGTCTTCCAAACATTTGATCATGATCATGTGTTTTATATCGAAAATCAAATAAAAACTGAAATTTTATAACTTTCATTTTTGTTTTGTATAAAAAAAAAAAATTGGGCGGAGTTATTGATAATTTGGTTAAATTCTAATTTTGGCCAGGATTAAAGAAATCCGGATTCCCAATTTGTGTTCAGAAAGGTTAGGCACTTTAGCAGGAAGCTGGTACTCCCTTACCAAGGAGTTTAAGTCGGTTTTCTTCATTTCCACGGTTCTCGTTTCATATTCTCGCTTATAATCTCGAACTTATTAATAAACATTTAACTTAGTTCATTTGTTTTTATTTATATATACATATATTCTCTCGTTGTCTTACTTTTTATATTTTTATATCCTACATCATTTGCCAAGTAATAAACCAAAGGCTTGTTTAATAGAAATTTTTTATTTAGATGGTAAGTATTCTTTAATTATTTT